GATTTGCAAACGAAACGCTCTGGGGGGTCAACCGAGTCCGTGTAATCACCTCTATACAAATATTTCCTGAAAAAATAACGATAGCCCCGCCTCTCCCCACCTCTCCTGCTCACTGCTGTAGCAACTATCAAAAATAGCTGTGTTAATTAAACGCACAAGGGGTTCTTGAATGAAATAATATTATAAAAGGCAAACCAGAATTGTTAACGCCCAATATACTCCTTAAACAAAATAAACAGAGTCAGATTTCATACATTGATCCATTATATTGACAAAGGTGCATCTCACCCGGTGTTTGTAGAGAATATCTCTCTTTCTGAGCCGTCCTCTCCACAGAGACGTGCTTCTTGGTTTCTTTCAGTTAACTTCCCCGTTGCATTTATCCATATGCTGAGAAAATGACTATATCCCGCTGAATACCAGCAATCGCCACACACACTGACTTCCTCCTGTCAGTAGCTACTGCTAGTGCTACTGCTACTGACCATGCTACAGATATTAGTGCAAAAATATACAGCTCCTCTACCACAACCATCAGCAACAAGTGGACATGGAGAATTCCATGAACTACATGTTGCTAAATACACCACGGGGCATGAACAGAAGGGTAGCCATGGCAACATTGCGGCGGGGGCTGCTGAGCTGCTCTTCTTCGCTACTTTTGGTGTATTTTGGCGGAAGTTACAGCGCCACTTACAGTCCCGGCATATGTACTACAGCGTTTCCAGCGGCCTCGTTTGAACAGACACGTTAAATGAAACAAATGCATGTGAACGGAAGACTTTTTTGAATACGCATACTGTGCATAAACGCAAACGGTCCCGTGTGAGCGGGGCCTAAAGCTCTCTGAAATGAAGTGTATTGTAGAGGACGGATGTTTTAACAGCCCAACTCTGTGTTGTGCTCTTCCTGCTGAAGTGACTGACAGGCAGAGGGGGTGTTCATCATTTATGACGTGGAGCATCCAATTGGCTGGTATGCACAGTATTTAAGATGGTTCCTCTGTCCTTCTCAATGTGGCAAACGGCAGCTTATATTTTCTATGTCTACACAAATCAAAAAGATAAATGCATGTTTAAATAAATGGCAACAACAATGTGGTAGGATAAGTCCTAGAGACACAGGCCTATACATTTTTGGATGCATTACAAATTATGCATTTATATTGAAATGTTAATGGTATTAGTACCTTTTTTTATAATGAATATTCAGCTATTCTAAAAAAAATTATCTTTTTGATTAATCATTGTACTATCACTAAAATATGGCAGTTAGCAAATGAGAAATTAGGTTTTGATCACTTCCAAGTATCCCGTTCAGAAATCCAGACAAACTTTAGACATTTTGCTACGTCCTTGGAATCTAATCTAATCCCAATTCTGAAAGTGTCAGGGTTAATCATTTGCTACAGAGCGCAGGATCACAGGAAATTTCAGTTTCCATTTCTGAAGTTTCAATTCCTTTAGTGTGTATGCTTACACATTTATTAAATAAGTAGCAGTTTTTAAACTGGTCTACTTTGGATACATTCATCATGGACTTTTCCACATGGCTTCACTACATCCATCAAACACATTTGTTACAGGAGCAACCATTACAAACGGGAGGGATTAAGTTTAAAATACCTAGGCATATTATATCAGGAAACCTATTTAAAAAATGTTGCGTTATACAGTAGGAGATGTTGTAGTGTTTTTGAAGTTGCTTAAACTTTGAACATTCTTTTTAAAAATCCGTAACTCCCCAAACTGTTTGGTACTATAATACAAAAGAATGGAGCAACCTTTACCTGCAAATGTATCTTCCTTTATTAGCCAGCATACAAAACATTGCTTCCACATTTCTGTGACCTGGAAATTGACTTTAAGCTTGTTAATTTTAGCAATGAATCATGTCAAAACCTAACTGCTGGTGCTGTAATGTGTAATGGGGATTGCCCACAGTATTGAGTGTATGTAAGTCGCTTTGGATAAAAGCGTGACATGTAATAATGTAATGAACCAGAAAACGCTGATCATATTTTAAACAGCTTTCTTTTTTACAATTGGCGGAAGTATGCACATTATTATAATTATGTTAATGTTGTTCTCTTCTTAAATTAATCCTGGTAACACAATTGCTCGAAGGTCAAAAGTACACACTATGGCAGGCATCCTCAAAGTCCGGACTCTGGTCCGGATCCGGACCGAACCACAACTGTCTCTGGACTCTGAGCAAATTATACTTTTCATATGTATTATTTGTATTATCTGTATTTTCTGTGTTATCTGCGAGACATCGCCACAACGCAACAAGTCAAAATTCTCCACTATGTCCACTGCAAACAGCGCTCTGCATGTACGACTGTTCCACTGTCTGTGTGTGTCTGTCAACGCATTGGTCCAATCACATTCAGCATCCCGTCAGCGTTTTTTCCCCCCACCAACAGTCTGCGAATCAGAGGCACAGTAGGGCGGGTCTTCGCGGAATGCGGGTGGGAGAAATGCGTGTGTCGTCTCTTTCAGAGTTAGAGCGAGAGTAAAAAAAAAAAAAAAGTCAGAGCGAGAGTTAACAGCTCATCTAGTTGCATCTGTACTGTAGCTAGTAGCCTAGTTTCACCTACCTACCCAGCTGCCACCACAGTTGGCAGCTTTGTTTTGAAAGAAAAGTTGTGGCTCATCTGACATTTATGAGAGAAAGTCTCTAATGTCCGAGTGCAAGTGAATGCAGCACAAGATGCACGTCTTGTAACCCCTCCCCCGGCCCTGGCGCGAGCGTGGAAATATGATTGACCCAAGTACTGAAGGAATGAGGTATTTGCGGTCTACAATGACAGAGAAGAGACTGTCAAGTTTGGCTGAACTCTGCATTGAATCAAAACGCACTAAAGCTGTTGATCTTACTAATTTTGTGAAGCGTTTTGCTGAACAAAATGGTAATCGCCGCATTCAGCTGTAATAGACATGTCAACTTGATGCTCTGCTCACGGATGAGCATACAAAACTGTTAAGATGATGACCTTACGTGTGTAAATATATGTTTTTCTTTGTGGGGGTCTGCCCCCAAAAAACAGTTTTAAGTCCTGAGAAAGTCAAATAAGACGGTGTGTAAAACTACACTGCCCAGCCAAAAAAAAGTAACCACTTTGATTTAACTAGGCCAGTAGGTAAGGACATTCCACTGGATAATAACTGAAGTATAAAAGAATGCATGACTGAAGTGATGGAGACCATGTTTGAAGGCAAACAAAAAGAGGAAATAACAGGTCAAATCAAGAAAATCCCCCTCTCAGTTGCTGGTGTTTGTGAGTTTTTATGATGAGGCAAAGGGGGAGTTTGTTGAAGATGTGTTGGGCCTGACGAACCTCAGTGGACACACAAGGGGGCAAGACATTTATAAAGCAATAATGGGAATGCTGAATGAAAGAGGGTGCAGCTGCCTTTATTCATAGCTGTGCAGCTCTTACACTGCGACTCTGAGGGATCAAGCACAGACACAATAACAATGAAAACTGCTGCATACAGATTATTTTTGTTTTTGCAACCTCGTGTTAAGAATCTTGTTGCAATTGTTTAAAAGTTTGAATGACCGTAATAAACGGACCTTTGTCTTATTGAAACATTTTTTTTTGACCTTTAAGATTTGTATTTGAGTACCCCTGCACTATGGTATAGGTCAAACACATTTAATCGGCTTCAAAAGGTATTTGTTTGCTTAGCTCCTCAGACAGCCTAAGCGTTCCACTTGTGTATATCATACTGGACAGTGGCAATATTGCACCCCATCAAAAAAGTCCATCTGGACATGAAAAGAAAATCAAGATTGTTTTCGATTGTTCTGTTTTGTGTGTTTACGCTCTGTGCAGTTAAAGGAAAACAAACATGAAACATAAAAACAGAAGCTTGCTTTTGGTCTTGTTTCATGTGTTTAGGTTGGAACAAAGGGTGATATCATTTCCACTGTGGTGGTACAATGAAATAAGGAGAGGCCAATCAGGTTGCTCTAAAATTGTAACCTCCCACTTCTATTGATTACATTAAGGCGAATCTACTCAAATACGATTTAATTTACCGGCAGCCACAAGTGGATTGACCAGAAAATGCTGATCATAGTTTATTTACTGCTGATGCTTGGAGTGGGGCGTAAGTATCTAGACTTGAGATACATTATATGAATTGTCATGTTCTGATAAGGATTCAGTAGGGTGCTAATTATTCTTAATGTATCACAAATCAATCATCTGTGTGTTTATTATATTTTTCAGGATGCACACACGATCAGATCTTGGAGACAAAGACTGTTAGTCTTGGGGATGATGTGACTTTGACTTGTTCACGCCAGAAATCCTTGGATTCAACAAACATGTTCTGGATCAGGCATGGACCTGGAAACGTCCCTGAAGTCTTGGGAGGAACATATTCTTTTGATTATGATGGTGATAACAAGACTCCTCGCATTACAGCAAAACAAGGGCATGGAACCTTTCTCCTGCAAATAAGTAAAACAGAGCCAAGCGATACTGGAGTTTACTACTGCCTAACAGTAAACAAACTTGACATGACATTTCTGAATGTGACATTTCTGAAAGTTAAAGGTAAATCATTTATACTGTTTATCTTTGTTATTACTGTCTGCTACATAAGTTAATTGTATTTGACTACTTTCTTAATGTGTTATGTACTAAACCCCTTTTGTTTGATATGACAGCTTACTATTTTTGTCTTTTATATTTACCCACACATTATAAATTACCTCACAGGGAAATGCGTGAATGATTTCTGATTTCTGAAATGAAATACAGCAAACGTAGATTTCACCTTTCTTTAAAAATGTATCCTTTATCTATATATTTATATTTCCAGGCCCTGAACCAGATATCACTGCCATTATTCAAGGCCATCAGTCTGATCCGGTCCTTCCAGGAGACTCGGTGACTCTGCAGTGTACAGTCCTCTCTGAATCTCAGAGCAAAACTTGTCCAGGAGAAACCAGAGTGTGTCATTTACACCCATAGCCATAACAACAGCGGAGATGATTGTGAGAATAGTCCTGAGGCTAGCTCTCCACGGAAATGTATCTACAACTTCTCTAAAAACATCAGCTCCTCTGATGCTGGGACTTATTACTGTGCTGTGGCCACATGTGGGGAGATATTATTTGGAAATGGAACAAAACTGGACATTGAAGGTAACTGCAATGCATTTACAAATCTTTAATAATCATTCATTTTGTATCTGGTAGATACCCTTATAAACCAAAATCCAATTGTCATGCATTGTAATACTGTCAAAAAAACGTTACATTTTTCACATTTGCTCCTTTTCTCCATGATTTTAGCACCTAAGATGGGGGATCAGCAGAAGGCCATTGTAGTTCTGCTTCTGTTAGCTGCTGCTTTGGCTATAAGTCTGATTGTTATTGCCTTCCTGATTTATACTATCAAGATGAAAACTTGTGATAGTTGCAACGGTAAATAACGTTTCTCATACCTCAATCTATCAGACAGTTATTGGGAAAAGCTCACTTTTTTACATTACAAATTTGTATAATTGTACCTACATCATATGTCATCAAATGTATTTTATTTCATAATACAGCTTCTGTTTTTCTGCAAACAAATCCCGTACCAGCCAGCGGTGATCAGCAGAGGCAGGTACGGTCAAAAAGAGAAGATGTGACTGAAAAAAGTTGTTGACTCATTTTATTTTCTACATGTAAATCATAACTTTTGCCATCTCAAACATTTTTCCATACTTTTTTGCAGAGAGATGAGGACTCAATAACTTATTCTGCACCAACTTTCACCAAGAGGAAAACTGGCAGAGCAGACAGGAAGAATAAAAAATCAGCAGAGGGAGAGACGATCTACACCGATGTCAGGGGCCTCATTTATAACGCCTTGCGTAGGATTGACGTGAGAAGGTTGCTTACGTAGTACAAAGCAAAAAAATAGGTACAGAAATTTTCCGACATTTTCCGATTCACAAAACATTGCGTACCGGCGAGGGAAGTGCGTACCGGCACTTCCTACGCCTGTTTCCCTTTATAAATCACAATCGACTCGAAATGCGGCGCAGCTTTTGCAGGCTTCACGTAACGCCCATATTTGCCTATAAATAGTCAAAGAAACGCCCATTCATTCATTCATTTTGACTGACTGACTGCATCAAGAAGATCGCAGGAAATTACGACCGAACAGCTAAAAAAGACATCTCACACCGTGTCAGATTTTGGTTATTTTGGGGAGGTCGAGATAAATCATATTGTTTGGTGGATGCAGTTTGAACCAGAGTAGCAGCATGGAGGTCGGATCGTCACCAAAATAAATAAATAAGTGGTCCGAAAAAAGTTAATGACAAAAAAAATACACATAACCTTCCTCATGCAGTGTGTTTGTCCCGGGGACAGGAGACACCCCCTTGATGAGAAACTCTAAGAAATGATCGGGGAATCCCTCCGGAGTGGAGTCATGACGACTGGATCTGAATTATTTTGTTGTATTTGGTGGTTTGTGTTCCAGCTGTCGATCAGCAACTATATATCCATAATCCACCAGTTAAAGGAAATACAACTAATGTGTTGTGTTATATTAGCTGTACAATTTACCACATAGGTGTTCTTAGTTTCCATAACTCCTGTGTTTTACGAGCGACTTATCAAGTCTTGGCAAACGGCATAAAACACGATTAAACGTGATAGTATATAAAACCATGCTCGTATCTACAACCTATAGAAATGCAAAACGGCGTCAGTTTAGACGTAATTCTGTCCTCCTGCTTACCGCATCATTTATGAGAAAACATTTCATAACATTAACACAACATATTCGAGGTGGTTTTAAATAACATATCCGTATTTATTTATTTCTCCAAGTTATGTTTTTGTGTGCACTGAGGAGTCGCAAACAGGCGTTTGTTTAATCATTTTAAGATTGGCTTTAATCAATGTTTGAAAATGAATTCTTCATATGATAAATGAGAGGTAACATTTTATTTATTTCCACATATTTCTCTCCATTCTTCCTTCTGCCAACGGTGTCGCAGTTTCTCGTCTCTCCCGTTGTTGTGCTTAGTGCGTACGCATGGGTTAGAGTTTGCGTGGAGGACCGCACATTTTCCCGTCAAGTTAGTATTTTATAAATCGCAAACATTGCGTAGAAACTGGCGTACGCCATTTTTTGAGCGTATATCCCTTTATAAATGAGGCCCCTGGTCTTTAGTGATGGACTAACAATATACTGGACTTTCTGATTAAAGCTTACTGTTGGGGAAATATGTTCCTAGGCCCATACCTTTGACCCAGTCAGTTTGTACTGCCCTCACTGAGCACAGGCCTGCAACCTTGGGCTGCTGTGATCTCAGTGTTTTGTCTCCCTATTCCTGCCTGTCAGCTGATAGAGGTGTTTTAGTGCTTTGCCTGTTTTATCTTGTCATGCACAATATTGATTATTCTCTCAGAACCAGCTAAATACATGGGTCTGGGGTAGAGATCTTCAGAATTGGTTTGGCAACCGCTGTGTCACCTCGTGGCGGCAGCACATGTCTTGACAGTTCTCCGGCCGTAACTCCATAATAAACCATCAGTGTTTGCCATCAAAGTTCCAGCTCACCCAGTGTCTCTCTGAGTTTCGTCTCCATTGCTTCAGAAGTTTCCATCACACTTACAATGGTGTAAATATGTTGCTTCCCTTTCAGAAATTGGAGAAATGTTATAACCTGGAAACAAAAAATGTATATCATTTTGAAATGATGTCCAATCTGCTTAAAATCATTGTATAACATTTTTTTTTTTATAAATAAAAGTACATTGGTTACATGACGCAAATTGTTATAGCTTTAATGGTGATATTCTACACCTAAATATGTGTGTAACTGTTGGATTAGATTTTGCGCAAAGTCTGAGGCATAAATATGGTAAAGCTATTCGCAAATCATTCCTAAAATACACAACATGTCACTCATTTGACCATCAACATTAACCCATGCTGTTAGTTATGTATATATGAAATGTGTATTTCAGCCACAATAGAGGCAAATATAGTGAAATAGAGTGAAATATCTGGACAAATGTTTCCATAGGATGTATCCTAGTCAGTTTTTTTGATACCCCAATGTTTATCTAGTGCATCGGTACGTCGAAGATTTTTGTGTTGTGTGAAATCACTACACTAGGGATTGCAGTGAAATGTGGTACATAGGAAATGGTGACAAAAGAATTACATGGCAGGGCAGTGGCTCAGCTGCTAATATACTGAACAGGAACTGCAACTTACCCATTTCATCTCTGTGTTTTAGCCACCACAACTTTATAAAACATGTCTAAAAATGTACAGCATGAAGAAATGGCGGGGCCAACTGAAAACATCCGTACTTCTAGCCTCTCATCACTTTGTAAAGGCCTTTCATGTCTGGTGTGAGAACAAGCAAAGCCACATGCAACAGCTACACTGACAGACAGGCCCAACGCTGTTTACTCAGAACACACCTGACTATTGGGTTCAAAACTATATGTAGTGAGGGGGAAGTTGAAAGAAACTGCTAATTAGTTTTCAATGTGCTCAGTAAAAGTACCAAGAGAAAGAGGCTACCATCTACTCTTATGCATCTGCCAGAGTACTCTGCTATAAGTGCTGCATTTATTGCGCAGTGGAGCAGATTTTTGTAAAGCTTTCAGACAGATTTTTGTTGATTATCCGGCAAACTTAAGTCGGTCAAAAAGACGTGATGTCATGACTTTACCCTTTACTGAAATGTTTTTTCATTCCACGTTCACTTTTAAAATCAGCAGTGCATGCCGAGTTTCCTGAGGCTAAAACAGAGAGTGAGAAAGGCAGAAGCCCCTCTCTGTTGACACCTCAGTTTGAAGCCAAACCACAACAGTCCCTAAGTTTCCATGCATTTGTCTGTCAGTAGAGACTGTGAATGCATGTCAATCTGTTTCTGTCAGCTTGCCAAATGCAGGCAGTGCTGTGCACACAAAGAAAAAAGTAGACGGTACAAAGCATATGATTTCACTTGTTAGAAGCAACATCATTGCTCTGTAAAATTAGAATACTTCAAAAAAGGCTGAGGATCCCAAGGTAAGGTATGCTTTGAGGCTTCTTCTAAGCCTACAATGCTCCAGATATGGCAATGACAAACTTAAATCCCAAGCTCCTCCAACAATGCAACATTATATATATATATATATATATATATATATATATATATATATATATATATATATATATATATATATATATATATATATATATATATATATATATATATATAAATAGTGCAGAGAATGTTGTAAGTGACCAAGTAAATGCAGGAGTCTATAAACATGTACAATATAGTTAAACAAATTAAATACTGTTTATTGTGATTAACATTAAGATAAATCAATTGTAAGATGCAGACAGAAGAATGCTTTAGGTCAGGGCTTCTCAAACTCCGGACCAAGGTCCGGATCCGGACCGAACTGCAAATCAATCCGGACCGAACCCCGTGTCCCATTATGAAAAAAATAAAAATTATAAAAAAATAAAAATAAAAATAAATTCTGATTCTGATAAATTAATGTACATCATCATGTACGCGCGTCTTGTGTCTGACGCGTTGTGAGAATGAACGTGCATATATATTTACTTGTGTGTGCGAGCGTGACACGCATAGCAGACCGCAAGTTAACCGCAAGTTTACCTTGACTTTCTAATGCTTCTAATGCCTATTTTGCCGAGGTTCAAGGCATTGACTACAGACAAACAGTGCCATTTCTCCCACTAGTTCAAGCCACCATACTGTATGTATGTATTGAATGTGTGTGTGTGTGCATACAGGGGCGCCGTTTACCGACAGGCAAGGCAGGCAAGGCAGGCAAGGCAGGCAAGGCAGGCAAGGCAGGCAAGTGCTTGGACCAGAAGGGGGCAACGACAACATGAAACACCCTTTAATTTACTGCAACGACATGTCGGGAAACCCCCTCAAGGGGGCCCCATGCAAAGAGCGCCAAGAAACTGCGGTTGCATTCGAATAGTCCATTTAGCTTAGGAACCTTCCTAACGGAGTGAAATGACCCGGAAGTCCCTCAGTGGCAGCCATGATAAGTGCCGTTCGAATTCTCTAAATTAAAAGGAAAGGAGGTTTCAAACTTCCTTTATAACCTCCTTTAGCCTAGGAACCACTGGACCTCCCTAACCGAAAGGAGAGGAGAAAATGCTGCCCCACAATGCCTTGCGGCCGCAGCATTTGCCGTCACACAACAGTCGGCCGTTCACGGAAACAACCGATTATGAACGAGAAATGATATCGGTATAAAGTTACGGTGCTTATTAAGCAATTTAAAACGTATGTGGTAAGTTGCCAAAGTGCTTTGTTTTGAACGTTCATCAGTATTATAATCAAAAGAGAAATATGAACGTTAGTTTTTACTGAAATGATCAAATAAAGTCAACATTTCACAGTCTTTACTGAGCTGTGTGGGGTTTGTTCAACTTTTAAAATATGTTTGAATGGTGATATACACAGTGATAGATGTTAAGGACTAACGTTTATAATAAATACATTTGTATTGATTTTAAGATCTTTTCATACAATCATACGTATTGGGATCATTTGTATTAATGTGGACCGGAGGGAGAGGGTGACGAGCAT